CCAGCCCAGGTGAGCGCCCGCGGGACTGCGCCCAAGGACGCGCGGGCGAGGCCGGGGACCTGCGGGGCGCCGAGCAGGCGGAGCGGGCGGAGCGGGACGGGCAGCGCGGATGCTGCAGGACGGGGACGAGCGGGGCGGGAGCCTGGACGTCCTGGACGGGCACGGACGGACCCGAGCCCCAACTCGCTCCCGTCCTCGGGGAGGGCGTACCCCTTGCCGTGTCCTCCCAGGGAGTGGCCCGAGCTCACGGTCTGCCTGGCATCCTGCAGCCTCACCCCAGCCTCTCCTCCCTCGGAAATCGCCCTGCCTTCTCCTCTGCCTGCTGCCTCCTCGCCCGTGCCCACCTGTAGGCAGGTCCCCTGTGGCGCCTGGCGCCCTCCCAGCCCACCTGGGCTGCTCCCCAGACCCCCATCTGGCCGCTGGCGCTGGCACCGGGCTGTGCCTCTAGGTTGCTCCCGGTGCGGCAGTAGACACCACACCACCACTCCCAGAGGAATCTGGGCACCTGGCTGCCACCGCAGGGCACGAGGGCCGGGGGAGGAGGGCTCCCAGAGCAGGGCAGGCCCGCGGCCCCAGCCCTTCAGGCACTGCCCTTCCCCTCAGGGCCAACTGTCTCTGCCTGCAAGAAGGCAGGTGTTCACCCGGTCAGTCCCTCTCAGTGCCAGGCATCCAAGAATGACCCACAGGGCACACCGTGCTGCCCACTCAGCACTGGGCAGAAGGGTGAGAGGCCCGGGTCCCAGCAGCCTCGTGCCCTTTGGTGAGTGTCCTCTAGGTGAGGGCCGAGGAGCGCCGTGGGGAGCCCTGCCCGCTCCTGTGTGCCCCAGGCGCCTCTAGCCTCTCTCAGACCCAACGTCCAGAGCCTGGGCCAAGGCAACACTGTCGTGTGCTGGTACTCGCCCTTGGGTAGAGCGCAGCTCAGGGAACTGGAACATAATGAAGGAGATGCCATGAGGACAGAGCCCTCCCAGCCCTGCCAGGCTGGCAGCCCCCTCCTGCTCCATCAGGCCTTAGGGCTTGGGGCTGTGCCTTTGTCCCCTCTTCCTCCCTCCCTGTCCCTCCCACGCCTGGGCACCATGACATCACCACTCCTCAAGCACCTCTGCCCTCTCCATGGAGGCCAACTTGACATGCTTGGCATCTTCTGGGCAAAGGGCCTGGACTCCAGAGCTGCCCTGGTGGGCTGGCTGGCCCTGGACCCTTTTGTCCCCTTCCCTGAATGATCCTCCCTTCCTGGGGTTCACTGTGCCTATGGTGGGCAGGGGCAGTTCTGGGGTTCCCCAGACCTTGGCAGGGGCACTGGACTGGGTGGGGTCAGGGGAGGCTAGAAATGCCCCAGCTAGTCTGCGCACATCCTCTGGGGTCCCCGGGGGCCAGAAACCTCAGCAAGACCACAGAGCCCTGGCATCCCAGCCCTCCTCTGGCTCACAAAGCGCCCCGAGGCCCTCAGGTGCTGCCTCCAGCCAGGGCTCTGTGTCCCCACCTCTGCCCACCCCAGTCCTCTTTGCCAGGCACGAGGTGGGAGTGAATATGCAAAGCATCTTCTGTTACTCAGACATCCCTCATCTGTCCTCTGGTCCCCCAAGAGCCAGACCCTTATGGCCCCCTTCTCTCAGTCCTCCCAGGAACACCTGCGCCCTGTCCTATTCTCAAAACCCTCCTGTGCCTGTGCCCTCCTGAGCGCAGCAGGCTGCAGGGCTGTGGCCCTCTCCTGCTGCAGGTCTCCTGGCTCAGAGAGGGCCAGCACCTCCCCGACAGGCCCCGCTACCTCCCCTCCCGGCCCTAACCCTAGGCACACCTCCTCCACTCCTTGGTTCCTGATGAAAGGGACTGTGGGGAAATCAGGGAGCCACAGTGAGATCAGGATGCAGACCTGCCCCCCCCCCCAGGCCTCTGCTCTGACCTCCTAAGCCGCATCTGCAGCCCCTGCAGCCCTGCCCGTCCCTGCACTCCATCCTTGTGCATCCTGAGTTTGCTCTGGCTGGTTCCCTCTGTCACCAAGCCTGTCCCCAAGCTGGGAAGGGCCAGGCAAGCCTGCAGGGGTCAGCGTTGCAGTGGGCAGGCTGGATGGCAGGAGGGAAGGGAGGGGAAGTGACCTTGTTGTGAGCTTGTGAGCCAGGCTGGTGAGTGACAGGGAGGGGGATAGCAAGGGAGCCTCTGGGAGGTCAGGTCCCCAGTGCTGCCCACCCATCCCCTTGTCCGCAGTCAGCTTGCTCCCAGGGTCAACAGGCCTCTAAGCTTTAGCCAGAGCCACCTGTTAATGGCTCCACCTTGTGATGGTCCCCGGAGGGGACAGAGGCATGCACGCGGCTGGGGCAGAGGCTTGGCCTGGTGGTCTCCACTCAGTGGGCACTGCCACGGCAGAGGCTGAAAGGGGTGTGCAGGGCAAGCCAGGGGTGTGGCCAAAAGGGCAGCTGGGGTGCAGCCTGGGCTGCCAGAGTCAGGCTGTCTGGGCTTGGTGCAGCATGGGCTGAAGGTCACCTGAGCTTCCTGCAGGGGGGACTGGGCTTGAGCAGGTCTACCATGGGCCTGAGGTGCCAGCACCCCAGAGCTAGAGTTGTCATGGAGACTGACCCTCCATGGCCCTGTAACTGCTGTTCTGTGGCCTCCTGGAGACAGCTGAACCCATGGGCCAGGTGCTCCATTGCTGCAGAGGATGGGAGAGGGGGGTGGCCGTAGGAGCTCCTGATGGTGGGAGGGGTTAGAGCAGGTTGGCTTTGGGCCAGCTGGCGACAGGTGAGGGACAGCTGGCCTCAGAATAACAGGTGCCTGTCAGGTGAGCCCAACCCAGCTTTGGCAGACCTGGGCTCTGGGGGCTGGCTCGGTCGCTTGTAGCTGCTGTCACCAGCATGTCAAGCAGAAAGGTCCCCTTCTCCCACTTCCACTCCATTCAGCCCATGTTCTCTCTAGACTTCTAAGTTTTTATTCAATGTGATGGAGGAGTTTCAATAACTGCTTCCCCCAGGGAGGGAGGCCAAGCTCAGCAGGGAGGAGCTGATGTGGGGACAGAGTGTCGGGCAGTAAGGGCCCCAGGTGGGCACCGCAGCCTGCTGGAGCCTGTGCCACTCAGGGGCAGTGCCCAGCAGGCGTTGCACATGGCCTGAGAGGTCAGCTTTCTCTGTCGGGCGGTCACTGGTCTGGCCAGGTGCCGGAGCCAGCCTGTGCCAGGCCCAGCCTGGGTGCCCTCCTTCTTTGCCAGGGAACCCCAACCCGTGGTGCCAAGAGAATGGTGCCAGTTCTGTGAACACCAAGGTCCCTGACCTTCGAGGCAGCAGAGTGGCCCTACTGGGACCTGTCCAATTTTCATTTGGAGGGCAGGGCTTTGGTCTCACCCAACAAGGTCCCTGCGGGCTAGAACAGAGTTGGCAGGCAGCAAGGACCTGTGGAAGGGGCTGGCTGGCTCCCAGAACCTGCGCCTGGAGTCCCGACCAGTCCTGGGGAGGTGAGGCCGGCATCCAGGCACTGGGGCTCTGCAGACCCCACGTGGAGGGCCCCAGGAAGGTGCAGGCTGTGGGCTGGAGTTTGGGGATGAATGCATTTGTACACCTGACTCTGTGGTGGCAGGGAGGCCGTGAGTGTGCACACCTGCGCATGCTGTGCCAGGCAGTATGGGCCATGCAAGGCTGTGCTCATCTGTGTGCCCAAGGCTGTAAACACAGCTAATGAGCACCGTTGTAGCGAGTGTGCCTAGGTGCGCAGGGAGTTGTGACAGGCGATGGGGAGGGACCCTCCCTTCCCCACCTCTGTCCCCCGCCCTGCAGGGCCTGTGTCCTCTAGGGACCAGGCTGTCCTCTGCCACACCCTCCTACCTGCCAACCCAGTGTCCTCGGGGGCCTCCATCTGCAGAAGCAGGGCCTCACCTGGCTGTGAGCCTGCACGAGTGTGGACGTGGGAGGCTTGTGGGAGCTTTGCGTGTGCAGATACAAGCGTTGCTGTGATTGTGCGTGTGTGGCTGGCTGGGTGGAGGCTGTGAGTGAGTGCGTGCGTGCGTGCGTGCGTGCGTGTATGTATGTGTGTGCCCCCTTCCCCTAAGCTCTCCGAAGAGGACTGCCTTGTCTTCGTAGTGACCCCAGTAGTGACAAGACCTTGGTGCTGTCAGCGTGGGCAGATGCTGCTGGGCCTGCTCCTTTGGGGCCCTTCCTGGAGTGCAGGAGGTGGGGGTCCTTGAAGGAGAAAAGGGGTGACCTTGTTCTGCCTGTCCCACCTGCGCTCCACGGGCTTCTGTACTTGCTGCCTGCATCAGAGAAAGGAGAGCCTGCTGCTCTTGAGCCCGGAGGTCCCAGGGTGGTGAGGAGGCGGACTGGATGGGCCTGGGATTAGCAGTGTGCCCTGCCCCCAGCCAGCCCATGTCGAGCGAGGGGAGCCTGCATGAGACTCTGCACGAGGCAGGCGTGCAGGAGAGAGCTGTGTGGCTAATGTGTCCAATTAAATTACTTCAAGCCCTGCCGAGGCGGCTCTCCCGGCGGGGCTCTGGGTACAAATTGGATCCGTCTCATTACCACGGGTGGTGGCAGCAGGGACAGAGCTGTGGCCAACACGAGGAGGCTGTCCTGGTACACATGGCCCTGCTTGCTGTGCACCCGGCACAGTCCTCCCCCACAGGACTCCTGCCCACCCTTCACCATCCTGAGCCTTAGCTGAGCCTCCCTAGGGCACTCCCTGAACCCCAGCTTTCCTCCTCTAGGAAAGGGGCTGTGCTTTGCAGGGGCCCAGGTTAAAGCCTCTCGGGTCACCAGGCCCATCTGTTCGTAACAGTCACCTGTCACTTGCTGCTGCCATGGCTGGCTTTTGTCAGGGCCCTGTCCTCGTGAGAGCTGGCAGAGGCCCCTGTGCATGGCCTCAGTTTCCCCCTCTGTTCATGACTGGAGGGTGTCCCACAGTGGCCTGGAGCAGAGTAAATGGGGCATCAGTGTCCTCCTGTGCCCAGTGACTGGCACACGGTGGGGACAGAGCCCGGAGGAGGATGCCCCTGTTAGTTCCCCGAGGCGGCAGCAGGAGCCACCGTCAGGACCACAGAGGCGTCGGTCGCATGCCCGCCAGGTACTGTGCCTACACATGAAGTGTGTGGGCTGCCACAGCCTCAGGACACGCGGGCGAGACAGGAGCTGCTCTGCTGGCCCAGGGCGGGGCTTCGGGGGCCAGGCTGGGGTCTGGCGGGGTGGGAGAACCTGCCAGTGGTGTGCTGTATTCCGGCTGCGGCCTCAGG